AGAGTGTGAAAGCAAAGCGTGGAGGGAGCGGGCTGGGGCAGGAAGGTGGAGATGGTGCTCCAAGAAGGACTTGCCTTTGAAAGTGCTTTGTCCCCAGCAGCATCTTGCTGGACTTGAGAAGGGTGCCCAGAAGGGGGAAGAGAATCAGATCATGCGTCTGTGGTGGGAGATGGGGGGCCGTGGGGTTCTGCTTGCCAGCAGATGAGGTTGTGGTGGTGGGCCGGGACTTACCTGCTCCTCAGCAGGAGAATTCCTCTTGCCTGATAGAAGGGGAAACTGCCCACCCTCAGGGACCAGGTTGCTTCCAGCCAGCTGCGAGACAATTTGATATTTGTAGTCCATGGGGCTCGGTGGAATACGTGCACGGACCTGCGTGAGAATGGCATGAGCACGGGGATGCAGAACTTGGGAAGCCTCACAGGTTCCTGCTGGCTTTCCGTGTGTTGACACAACTGGTGGAACCTCGATTCCTGTATTTGCGTCCCTTGCTCTGGAGTTGGTAAAGGCTTTGGGGCAGTGGCCGCAAGCATAGAAACCTAGAACGGTTTGGGCTGGAAGGGACCCAAGAGATCATCCAGTTCCAACCCCCCTGCCACGAGCAGGGACACCCTCCACTACACCAGGTTGCTCAAAGCCCCATCCAACCTGGCCTGGAACACTGCCAGGGATGGGGCAGCCACAGCTTCTCTGGGCAACCCGTGCCCCCTCAGAGGGAAGAATTTCTCCCTGGCCTCCCATCGAAATCTCCCCTCTTTCAGTTCAAAGCCATCGCCCCATGTCCTGTCACTACACACCTTGCCCAAAGCCCCTCTCCAGCTTTCCTGTAGCCCCTTCAGGTACTGGAAGGTGCTGGAAGGCCTCCCTGGAGCCTTCTCTTCTCCAGGCTGAACAGCCCCAACTCTCCCAGCCTGTCTCCAGAGCAGAGGTGCTCCAGCCCTCCCATCATCTCCGTGGCCTCCTCTGGCCCCGCTCCAACAGCTCCATGTCCTTCTGGTGTTGGGGACCCCCGAGCTGAAAGCATGTAGGATGCTGGAGTTTCCTGGAGTTGTTGCCTTCCTTCCTCTCCTTCCTCTCCTTCCCCTCTCTTCTCCCTCCCCTTGGAGGATGCACCTCGGTGAGACACTCAGCGGGGTGGTGCCACTGAGCCATATCTGTTTTTTGGGTGGGCAGGACATCTCTGGCTGAGGCAGAGGGGCACTGCTCTGCTCTACCCACTGCTCTGCTCTACCTTCTGCTCTGCATTCCCTGCATCCATGGTCCATATTTGCCGTTCCATCCGCGTCGCTTTGTCGTATTTTAGGCACTGGGGAGTTAATGCTGATACCGTGAATTGCCTGTGGGTAGATCGTGTGTTGCTGCAAAGGGTTTGTTTTTTTTCCTTCTAATAGATGCATCAATAAGTTCTTTGTGATTAAAACCAGCGCTTCTATGATTTGTATTGATTAAAGAAACATCTTGGCTAAGGTTTTAATGGGAACAAATGCCTTGATGAGCCTGGTGCTGGTAACAAGCGTGCGCTGACGAACGGAATGAATTTCCTGCGTGATGAAAACAAGGTGTACCCTTTGTGTGGAGCGCTCCGCTCCGTTACACGTGTTTTGATGAGGAGGTTTTCTGCTCTGAATGTGGCATGTTTGAGGTCAGCCTGGAAGAGGGGGCAGGGAGGGCTGTTTGGGGACAGGAGGAGCAGCAGCTGGAGCAGGGCACGGGTGGCGCTGGCCATTGCGGTGGGAGAACGGACTGGGGACAGAGCAGGTGGCTGTTGTCCTCGTGCTGTCTGTGCCACTCGGAGCAGAGAATATGTGTGCTCTGGATGTGCGGGCACTGGAAAGCGCAGTGCTGCTCGTCACTGTCCTCTGCAGCAGCCGGGCGTTTCCGTGTGAGGACATGGCTCTTGGTGGGCACAGAGCGTGGAGGTCTCAGTCTAGTGCAAGGGCTTTTGGGTGGTGGGCACATCTTTCCGAAAGTGGCAAACTCGGCATCTGCTGGTGCCTCCCCGTGGGCTGTGTCCGGAGGAAGCGCTGACATCCCTTTGTAACCGGATGGGTGGCCAGAACGCTGCTCATCCGCTTCTTTCGCTAATCCATGTGGAGTGTTACCAAGCTGCAGGCCTGAGCAGGCATCTTGTCTACCAAGATGGAATTGGGAGCTGTTGGTGCCCTCATCTTCCTCTCTTAAGTGATTTTGCTTCGTCTTTTTCAGGGTAAATTCACGCTGCTGCGAGACACCAGAACAGATGGCAGCTTCCTGGTGCACCATTTCCTCTCCTTTTACCTCAGAGGTACGTCAGCAGCAGGAGTCTCCGAGGCAGGAGCTTGCCTTCACCTGCTCTTTGGAGATTCCTCTGGCCTAAAGTGTTTTGATGAGAGCCGAGGTTGGTTTTGCAGAGCATGAGGCACCCTTGGACTAGCGCAAGGCACTGGGGTTCAGGATTTATGGATCCTTGCCCTGACTTGCTCTTGGGACTTGCTGTACATCCTTGGGCACATCCCATAACGTCCGGGCACCTCGTTTCGTCATTAGTGCAGTGAGTATTAAATCACTCGGGCATCTGACAGCGAGGAGCTGACTGTAATTCTTTCACTAGCTAGGTATTTTCTGATGTAATTAAAAATATCAGGAGCAACTAACGACTAGGTAAGCTAGTAGTGAGTAAAGAAACAAACAAAGAGCCTGGCAAGTTGCCTAGTTGCTCTTCTGCTGAAGGTTTCACCTGTGAGTAACCTACCAGCCCTGCAGAGCAGGCGCCGGCATCACGGACTCCTCCAGCTTTCTGCTGGCAAAGCAGCCAGCCCAGCAGATCCAGTCAGGCTGTACCTGTCAGGCTTGAGACTCAGCTCAGGGTGCTGTGCGGGTGGTGGGGCTGAGCTCATCCTGCCCCCCATAACTGCCACTTTCTCACCTGTGGCTTTACCCTATTCCTAAAAAACCTGTTTTACTTAATTGAACAGAGTGAAGCTGCAGGAGAGCCTGTGGAGAGCAGGTCGTGAACAGGATGAACCCGCTTGGTGCTCAGAACGTTTGGGAGGTCCCAAGGGGTCCGTGAAGGCTCAACTGGGGCCATCGACTTCTGGCCACCTCAAGTCCGTGTCCTGCTCTCTGGCAGGGAGAAACAAATATGCTGATTTTGTTCATTCGCAGGCCATGAGGCCAGGTTGTCACGTGCTGGGTTTTCCAAAATCCCATTTTAGTGAGGTGTTTTTGTCGAAATTGCTTGCTCTGTGTGTTTTTCCAGACAAGGCCACTTGTCCTGCGAGAGCCAAACCGGGGATTTTTGGCATGTCGGCGGTTTCAGTAGCTTGTGTCACGGTCGGCCGTTGGCCTCCTTGCAGCAATACCAGGAAACGGTGCCAGGAGGTCCCAGGGCAGGATGGCAGGAGACAGAAAAGGGGCCTTCTTCTTTTTTTATGTCATCATTTTCTTGTTTAGACAAGAAAAACTGACTAAGATCGTCCCTAATGTGGAAATCCTATAGAAAGGTGAACACTGAAAGCCCAGCCATGAGCAAGCGAGGAGCTGCCTAGACCTGTCTTGCTTCGAGGCCTTTCCAGAGAGATTTGTAGCCTGGCTCCTGTGATTTATGTGCTTTGACAATGGCAGCTTGCAAAATTGGAACGGTAACGTGTCTTTTTTGTCTTCTCACGCAGCTGGCTGTAAGGTTTGCTTTGTGGCCCTGCTCCAGTCCTTCAGTCACTACAGCATCGTAGCACAGAAGCTGGTAAGTCTCTTGGCGTAGGATAATAATTACAGGTCCAGGTAGTTTCTGTTGGGTGGAAAGGAATGAGAACGGGGAATGGGAATTGCGTGTGAGCAGATGTTTCCAGATCTTGACGGGGATGGCCAGGATGTGTGCTCCTGTGGCAGGGGAGGCAGAGCACTTGTCACTGGAGAAGGACAAGAGAGGGACTTTTTACAAGGGCATATAGTGATAGGACACGGGGCAATGGCTTTAAAGTGAAAGAGGGGAGATTTAGATTGGATGTAAGGAAGAAATTCTTCCCTCTGAGGGTGGTGAGGCACTGGCACAGGTTGCCCAGAGAAGCTGTGGCTGCCCCATCCCTGGCAGTGTTCCAGGCCAGGTTGGATGGGGCTTTGGGCAACCTGGTGTAGTGGAGGGTGTCCCTGGCCATGGCAGGGGAGTTGGAACTGGATGGTCTGTGAGGTCCCTTCCAACCCAAACCATTCTGGGATTCGGTGATTCTAAGGGTTGTGATACAGGGCAGAAACCTGGCTACGAGGCTCGCTGCAAGGGCCCCGCTGGGCATGGAGAGAGGGCTGAGTGCAGAACAGCTGCTTGCTTTATGCTAGAAATGTTTTCTGGAGATCAGCGCTTCCCAGACGTGCCCAGAATGGTAGATGTAGTTTCGTTAGTGCTTTGGGGAGAAAAACGCCGTGGTGTCCATGTCCCTCGGGCCTCTCGGTATGCCTGCAGGACGCACTGGCTTTACGGCGTGGGAGGTCCCGAGGTGACTTCATTCTCTGTCCTGTGCTTACGTCGTGATGAAGTCCATTGGGCCAAACCACTTGTGAATTCAGAAGGACACCTGTGTGCCTCTTCCAGCCTCTGGGCCAAGCCATCAATTTGAGCTGTCTCAGGAGCTGCAAGCACTGAGTATGTTCTTATGGATTTCTTTCCCACGGTGAGTCAGGCAAGAATTCTGTGTACCCAGAAAGAAGGAAACAGAGAAAAGTAGGCAGGGTCATTCCCAGTGTCTGCAAATCAGCCTGAGCTCTGGCTTTAAACTCCTGTTTTTTTGTACAATGCTCAGACGTGAAATCATAGAATCATGGAATGGTTTGGGTTGGAAGAGACCTTCAAGATCATCCGGTTCCA